ACAGAATGGAGATCCGGGAATAAGGGAGTCAAGAAATCTAACAGATGCAGTGTTCAAAACACTGGTTAGAAAGGTGCTCAATGAACTTATGGGAAGAGTAGATGAATTCAGTGAGAACTTCAACAAAGAGATTAAAAACATAAAATGGAAATGGAAATTATAAAAGAGAACCAGTCAGAAATGAAGAACACATTATCTAAGATGAGAAGTATATTAAATGGAACAAAGGAATAAACAAAGTGAATAAAGAAGAGAATCAAATGCCTTATTCAGATGATGGGAAAGTCAAGGACATGCAATCAGAATGGCAAGAGATAAGATGCCAAAACTATAAAAATAATTTAAGGAGCATAAGAAACACTATTAAGGGTCCAAATATCTGATTGGCATACCTGAAGAAAATCAAGATGTTGAACAGCTGTTCGAAGAGATAATGATGGAAAACTTCCCTAACCTGGTGAAGAAAATGAATATAAAACCCCAGGAAGCTCAGAGAATTCCAACAATCAGGGATCCAAAGAGGCCCACAGCAAGACACGTCATAATTAAAATGCCAAAGGTTAAATACAAAGAGAGAATATTAAAAGTAGCAAGAGAAAAACAGATAGTTACTTATAAGGGAGCACCATTAAGACTGGCAATTGATTTCTTAAAAGAAACTATGCAGGACAGAAGGGGTTGGCAAAAAATATTCGATAGGATGAAGACCCAGTATAAACAATCAAGAATAATTTATCCAGCAAAGGTATCGTTTAGAGTTGAAGGACAGATAAAGAGCTTCCCAGACAAAAATAAGCTAAAGGGATTTATCACCACTAAGCTATTATTACAGGAAATGTTGGACGGACTTTTTTTAAGAAGAAAAAACATGTATCAAAAACAGGAATAAAGAGGAATTCTGAGAAACATGGCAGAGTGACACACGTCCTCAGATCTCTCCCCTTGAAACAAGAATAAGCTGAACATCTAAAACTGAAAACAAAACAAAACAAAACAAAAATGCCCAAACTGCACACCAGAACATCTGAGTGTGAGATCTGCACATAAGAACTGCCACAGGTCAGAACCCCAGGTGTCGGGTGGTAGACTGGAAAAAATAAAAAAGCTGCCTCTCGCAGCCTCCAGAGCTTCTAGCAGGAGGAGGGAGAGGAGAGAAGGTGCGGTGACTACCCTGAACGACCCTGCCTGGAAGTGCCGTGACTTCTACACAGCCAGCAACAGGGCACAGTCATCAGGGCAGAAAGCAGAGAAGTGGGACAGGACTGCAGAAAAACAACAGTTGATTTTTACTGGCCCTGGTTGCAAAACCAAGGGGAGCCACAGCCCCCAACTCCCCAACTCCCAACACAGAGGCCTTTCCCCCATACACTCCGAGACCAATCACCACGGAACCCCAAGGGAATCTGAGCAAACACCACCAAAACTGTTGCTAACACGGACAGAGACTGAAACTGAGAGGAGCGAGTGTCATTAAATATCTACAAGAAAATAAAAAAAGACTTCATTTGGGCTTTATATAAAGCAGGGATCCAAGAGGCTTAAACATCACCTACTGGAAACCAAAAGAAGAGCGCCTTGTTTACAACAAGCTAAACAGAGTCCTTTATATAATAAATCTTCTTTCTTGAAAAACAACAGAAACACTTTCATAAATGCCCAGGTGGAGAAATACTACATTAAACACCATGAACAACCAAGGTGACAAGGCATCTTAGAAAGAAAGAGAAAAATCTCCAGAAATAAGCTTACAGACTTAGAAATATGTGACATAACTGGCAGAGAATTCAGGATGGTACTTCTGAAAAAACTCAGTGAGATCCGAAACAAGTCATATCAACAATTTCAGAAATTGAAAAAACAACTAGATGAGCAGAGAAAGGAGATTGAAACCCACAAGAAGAACAGAATTGGTATTCTAGAGATAAAAACAGACTGCAAGAGTTGAAAAATGAAATGGCAAGCTTGG